ATGTTTTAAGAGGGTTGTGTAAATGTATGAGGCTTGGTACAGAAGTTTACAGGAAAGACAAAAAGCAGTGAAAGGGAGGGATCATAATGAATTAGGCAAGAAAAAGCATGGGAAAATAGAGGGAAAAGGTGCTACAGGGTGCCAGCTAAGTTAAGCAAGTGGCTAGTTAGTCTGCTTGTCTCAGCAAGCCCTGCAATGGATCACTGCAGTCTGTCATATTCTCATTAAATTCTATACTTAACCACCTCCTGTGTGGGTGGGCTCTCTATTCCAAGTGTATGTATTTATATGAATGCTAATGAACTTCAAGTCCAACCAGTCAGTGAGGAGAATAAGCAGTTTGAGTACCAGGAACTGGAATGGGACCATGAATCCTAGGGGCTCAAGGGTCAGGGTGCCAGCAACTGGAGGAGACCTGGGTCTGGGATTAAGCTACAAAACTGGTTGTCTAAGAACAGCTACTGGAGAGACACACAGTACGTGTACATCCCACTAGTGGAATTCAATCCTGGTCAGACAGAAAGGAGGCTCAGGATTGGGCTTGAGTGTTGTGTGTTTATGTGTCTGCTGGTAAAGGCATTGGTTTCTGTCTGTGCTAATCCATGTGGGCAGCTGTGCCAGTATTGTGCATGTCTGTATCTGCAGGGAATACGTGTTCAGTCCTGTTGCTGGCTGGACCTGGGGACACGGAACCACAACCTCGCACCTACTAGGAGGAATCCACCCAGTCTCAAAGTCCACTAAATTCTACAACACCTAACACTGCCTGTTTGTAGAACATTCCTGCCAACTGGAATTCCACCTCTATGCAACTCCCTCTTAGAAGCCTTTAGATATAAAAAATTAAAAGCCACACATGATGCCAGTTCACCTGACCCAGCATGAAAGCAGCTTACAAGCAAAGCACTATTTAGAAATACTTTTCACAAAGACTGCTGGGCCATTCATTAGGAGACGGAGTAACTAAGACCCTGAGCAAAGCTCCCTACTGAGTAAAAGCAGGGAACACCTAAATTACTGTGAGGCTGTATTTTGCAGCTCATGTCCTATACCCTGCATTGCCCTCTGCTGTCTGAAATAGTGATTAATCACTTCCCATGAAGCCAACAGAGTAGGAAGTTCTCCTGGCAGTACTCTGAACTCAGCACATTACAAACAGTGGCTGCTCACCTTGTACTCAGCTTTTGGTCTGCGCAGCTCTGGGGCATAGTTTTTAACTCCCGTGTCAGAGAGGGCTGAAAGGTAAAGCTAAAGTTGAGTGACATATCAAAATCCTGATCCAGGCCTACCTCCAAAACCACCTTTTCGTTTTTTTTATTTTTATTTTTTGTGGTAGAAGACCCAAACTCAAGCACCAAATGGCAACTCAAAGTTGCTCTAAACACAACAGTCGACAGTTGTGCATACACAGATTACACCAAACCATCACGCCACCTCTTTTGCTTCTTTATTGGATGGCTTTCAGATAACCCATGATTCAGTTCCCCTTCCACAACATAAGGAAGAATATGCTTCCCTTTTATGGAAATGCTCTGGTTTATGTAAATCCGCACCCCTCCCAAAATGAAGGAGGGATTCAAAACTTACCATCTGAAAGGGACTGGAAACTTGGAAGTTTGTTTCGTCCTGAAATCAAAACAAACGCTCATTAGAGACTATTTACCAGCAACATCTCTTACAAAGGAAACACAAGCCTAGCCTGCAAGCCAGTGCGCTACAGCTGTGCCACTGTAGAACAAGCTACTCTCTATAGTGACTCACACTACACCAGCATAGCTGGGGCTCAGCTGCTTGTAGCCTAAGGCTTTGCAATTGTCTGTGGCATAACAAACCATATCACACTTCAGCCCTATCTGCCTTCTTGTTGCTAAGGCCAGGAGAGAGCCTGAATTCGCTCATCTACCTGCAGAGCAGAGGCTCAAGCACACAGGACTGCTTAGGCCATGGAAAACAGACAGCTTCATTCACCAGGGCTGTGATTTGGATGCCTTTCATCATCACTGTATTGTCAAAGTTGAGAATAAAAAACACCCCAGAGAAAGAGAGACAACGTAAAAGACATTTTGTTGCCTGGCTGTGAGACAACAGAGCTGAACTCTTGCAAACTGTTTAAGCCTCCTCATGGCCTGCTTTGCAGCTCCCCCCATAAGCAGCTATGCTACCACTGCTGATACCATGGGTTTGCTGGCCAAACTGTAACATCAGCAACAGCCAACTGAAATCCAAATAAAGGATAATCAACCTGTCTTCTCTGTACAGTACTGGAGATCAAATAAGGCCCACGTGGGTCAAGCCAGTCCCTTTTCAGCTTGCTCTTTTCCACCATGCAAACAGATTGCTGTACAGTGCTGTGCTCTACCTTGCTGTTCTGTGGCACGCAGCTTTTAAGAAGCCATTATCTCTAAAGCACCTTCCCATACCACGAGAGCATACGATCTTCCACACAAGACAGTCTCCAATTTCTGCCCAGTGGGAGATACACGCTCACACTGAGGAGAGATCAGCGCTTCCCTGTTTTGCAATACACTTGAGAGGAAACAATTCACATAAGATAACACAATTGCCCCTTGATGCTCCTGAGGGAAAACCCATTTGTCCATATTGTATATGAGGAACCTCACCTTTGAACAGGCTGCTTAGAGAGTAGGAGGAAACTTGTTTGGGAAAAGCAGCATAGGATGAAGAGCCCTTCTGTAGGCTGGAGTCTCGGCCCTCCAGTGAGCTGGTGCTGCTGGAGGCTGTCTCTTTGATTGACCAGGAGATACCTATGTGCAGACAGAGGTCATTTATAACAGAGAAAGAGAAAAACAGTCTGTAAGAAATGATCTTATTGAACAG